GTAGTCGTAGTAGTAGTCGTAGGAGTAGTAGTAGTGGTAGTAGTAGTAGTAGCAGCAGCAGTAGTAGTAGTAGTAGAAGTAGTAGTCGTCGTCGTCGTAGTCGTAGTCGTCGTCGTCGTCGTAGCATCAGTGGTTAGAGCAGCAGCATCAGCCCCAACAGCCGTAGCAGTAGTAGCACTAGTTCTTGTTACCCTAGTCGTCGGCGGTGTCATCGCCGTCCTGGAGTTGCACATGGACATGGCATTGGTGCTTGACCAGGCGATAGTGGAAGCAGAAGTCAGATCAATGTTAGTATCAGCTGAGCTGCGAATATTGACGTTATCGACACCTGCTCCCTTCATTGCCAAAAGCCCCATCTGCTCTACCACAATCAGTGGTCCTGCAAAGGACCGGCGAGAGGCCGCCGTCCGTCTTTCACTCCCCAGGGGCCCCAGTGCTTTCGCGGCAAGGACTTCCTTCCAATGTTGGGATGTTTCAGGTGTGTGGAAGTTGTTCGAGGTCAGTTGTTCGGGGTCCAGTTGTGGCGTGTTACTGTTGTCTTAATGGATCTTTCAATCAGTTTAGGCATCATGCACCGGCACATAATAGATTCTCGACAGAGCAGGACGACGAATTATTATGAAGACCATGACATAAGGTACCCGTAGTGATGTCAGAGCTGATACTTGGGCACTGTGGATTTCAATTCAGCGGTCTAAGGGCGACCACACCTTCATGAACACCCAAACGCGGAACCCGAGAGTCCGAACTGCCAAACCCTAACCTCTCAAGCTCTCAGGCTGTTCAGCACCTTTACGCACTTCGACCTGGGACTCCAGATAGAAGCAGCGCGCGCCGACGGCGAGCAGTCGAGGAAAAGGCGGGTTTAGGGTTGGGGATCTCATCAGCTTCAGTTGGTGGCATTTTGTCATCAAATGCGATCATCATTGTAAGAGGTAAGGCCAGTATCGTTGATACTGTGGCTGTTTATTCTGCGTTATGGTTCTTGGCGCGGTCGCTCTCTGGGACGGTGTTGGTGCTTGTGGTGCTTGCACAGGCGCAAATGGTGGTGATGAAGTGGTGGTGTCAGTGGTGATAGGGGTGGTGGCCGAGCTGGTAGCTGGTGCTGCTCTTGTCGTTGGTCTGGTGATTTCATGCTGCTCGGCTTCTCGTGCTTTCTGGTAGCGGCCGTGGCAGCCACACTGGTGGTGGTGTTGGCAGGAGGTGGTGATTCTAGACGCAGATAGCAGATGATAGCAGTCTGCTCATTCATCACCTGTAGATACAGAAATAAACAACCAACAGCAGTATCTCAGATTACCTTGCTGCGTGCTTGCTGGCAGCTGTTGTCGACCGCGCGCGACGGCGCGCTCTCTTTGCTCCGGACGGCTCCTCTCTTACCAATAAGATCGCCTGCCCGACGAACATCACCCTCGGCCCGGAGTTCGATTCCATCCTCACGTTGTGTTTGTTGCTATGTTAAATCAAATCTGAGTTTGTCGACTTGTTTATGATACGGTAAGGGTGGCAGCAGTGGGCGCAGGAAGGGTGCAAGCGGAGCACAAGGGAGGAGACGAATTGGGAGCTTCCAAACTGTGCTGGTTGCTGCTAGTGTGCAGGATTATGGCCCCAGGCCAGAAGCCCTCAGATCCTACAGTTCCTACAGTTTTTGACATCAGCGACTTAGGCGCCGTTCACGAGGGTCTAGGATTTGGCGGCTTGAGTCGTGAAGGTGTTAGAGTAACTGTTGTCACTGTTGTCTAGTGTTTTCGTTCTTCGGATTTCAGGATTTGCGGTTTTGGGTTCAGGAAGACTGTTTGTCCGATGGGGCTGTAGATGTTAATCTTCGTCCTAGCCGGAGTGGCTTGATGTCCACACACTTTAAGCTCCGCCAGTGAGGGGCAGGCTGTTGGATTCAAGCCGGAGGGTTCAGGTCAGACATTTTTCGTGGAACGTTTGAGGCCGGAAGTCCAAAGCCCCCCAAAGTGACATGCCATCAGCCATGAGCCACAGCTTCTTGCGGAGGTTTGCACTGATGAAGAATGTCACGCGGTCGAACGGCGAGGTGGATGACCCTTGCATCTACAAGGTCGTTACCCATGTGGCTTTTGAGGCCTGCCTTGTGAGACTGTGAATTTAGCACATAAGGTGGAGGCGTCAGTCTTCTCGTGTTTGCACGATGCGTCATCCTGGATCCTCACAGTTCTGGACTAAACCCCTAGGCCCCGAACCTTTGACCGTGCAACCTCATCCAAAGCCCGAAGCCCTGCGACCTCGGGGCAAAGTCAAGCGAGTCCTTGTGAGCTTAGGACAAAGAAAGTGCAAACCGGGCTCAGTCTTGCGTTCCGATGCGCTCCTCTTCCAATCATGGAGCACCAAGGTCTGGTAGAATTCATGCCCGGGAGTTTAGAGGCTTGACTTGGAGCCGGAGCCAGAGACTTAGGACCAAGCCCACGCCCTCATAGCTTCGTTACGCGGTTTGGGAATTGGGCCCTGCGCACCTCCCCAACGCACGAAACTTGCAGCCCAGGGCAGTGGGTTTGGGCTTGGAGGCAGTTAACACCGAATGAACTAGAATTCTCGAAGAACCTTCAGCCCAAACCCAATCCTCCAGAATCTAAACTTTACCCTGAGCCCACTTTGCCTCATCCGTCCTCAGCCCGAGACAGCAGGCCCTTGCTCCAAGACCCTACACTCCAGAGTGCGCAGGCCTTCTTCGCCGTCGTCGTGGCTCCCTTCATGCACAGATTATACAACGGGTTTGGGTTTCGATGTTTCGGTGCTGGGTTTGGCTTTGCCTGGTTCTAGGATCCTCATCGCGCAGTCTCGAAGAAATCATGGGACGTTGAATCGCAGCAGCTTGGGTACATGGGCGTGTCAGGGTTTGGGACGCAGCGCTGAAAGCTCCTGGCCGAAGCCTGACTGGTAACTTCACTTGTTGACCTATCTTGCCTCTGGACTACCTGACCAAATGGGCTAGCAGTTATCACTGTGTTATTCAATAGTTTAGTCCTCCCTGCAATGCCGCGCTGTGGTTGTTGACATTCCGGTACGGCTGCCGCAGTCACGCTCGGATGCAGAAAAGACCTCTAAAGACTCCTGTGCAGCAATGTCACACCTTTCTACGAAGTCCTGTGTAAAGTCTTTTCATGTTGATTTTCAGAGCTCGTGGTGGCTGGGTGTAGTGTAAGGGAGCCTATATCGCCACTGTCGCTTCGAAAAGCTCGCGTCCTAGATCTATATCTACTCCTCGCCGTGTACACATATGTATGTGTATAGTTATAGATATGTCTGTGGGTATGTACATCCGGGTTCCTCGAACTCTCAGAGTTTAGAGTTTCGGCCTTCAGAGTTCAGGCACCGAAACTCTTCAAGGCGTACTGAAGACACATTCCTTACACACCCAGCCACAAGCCAAGAACACCAAGAGCACTGAACAAAGCCCACATAACGTCCCCCAACCCGAAGGCCGACACCCCGAAAGTCCCAATTTCCTTGACATGGTCGGGGCTGAGCGGTTTAAAAGCACCCCTCCGAAGTCACGCAAAGCAGCCTCTCCTAAGCGTCGAGGTAAGCAAGCTGTTACTCCAAGGCCAATACCTCAAACCCTGAACACTCAACATCTACACCCGAAGCAGAGAGAGCAAACACCCCCAACCCTCCGCAGAACTCCAACAACAATCCGGCAGCATCTGCCCGAGATTATCAACTCGCTGTTTATCGGAGTGGAAGTGGAGCTGCAGATGGTGTCAAACGGAGCCACCATGAATTCTGAGCTTCTGAGCTAACACAGGTTAACCCCCGGACCAGCAACCCGACACCCTGTAATCCGGGAAATCCGCGCCCAAAGTTGTGGAGCAGATTCCATTTTGGGGCATCCGGGTCTTCGGGTAGGGCTAAGGGCTTTTGGTGTTTGTCTTGTGGAAGCGATGTTTGGGAACATAATGCAGCTTGACGTCTAGCAGTGTCCTATTCAAAAGCTTGTAAAAACCCAGATTGACGGATTGCCTCAAGCAAACTGTGAATGAGAGCCTGAGAGCGTCATTCACCTAACTTGCACGGGGCACCCAGGGCCCTTGCAAATGCTATGATTCGCGCGCCCGAGGTCTTTGAAAGAACAAGCACTTTTCAGGTTTGGTGATGCACTGCGGGGTTCTTGGAATCATTGGAGTCTCAGGCGGCTTGAACTTCAGAGTTTAGCCATAGGGGCTAGTACGTATGCCAGGGTTACACACTGCATGGGCTGGATAAGCCCGGTCACCGGCATCAGTATGTGGAGCGAAAATCTTTGTGGGGGCCTTGAGGTGTGACCGATCATGTCAGATTATGGTATGGTTCCCGTATATGTTGTCCAGCTGCGAACTCGATCTTATTGAAATCCAGCATAACTCGCCTATATCCGTCCAGTTCCTGTTCAAGTCAGAGACCCAAAACTCCTGTAAACTCTAAACCTAAAGCTTCCGCAAGGTTCGTCAGGGGTGTGCAGTACACCTTTACGACACTATTCACGCTGGAGCTGCTGATGCGATTTCTGGCCTTTGGTTTCAGACGCATGCTTCCTGACAACGGCAATTGAGAGTCATAGGCATACAGTACGTCATGGTCATCGCAATCCCAAAATGCTCTTTGCAAGGATAACAGCAGTGGTCAGACTATAATAATTAAATTTCAATGACCCAAGTGCGGCGCAGAATGTCGTGGAGGTCCGCATCAAAACTGCCACCAGAAGGGACGTGAAGCTGCCAACTGTACTAAGAACAGGCATAATTGTTCGTAGTCGCAAGACTACTGTCTAAGTCGCGGTAATCAGAACGATAATCAGCAGTGAGAATTATCGTGACACGATCAGATGCAGAACGCACGGTACCTTTGGCAACATTACCATGCAGAGAGATAGGTAACCTTCGTGACCGCAGTGCCGCACCCAGGCTTTCGCAGTTCGATCCGCCCACGATAGACCCAGACCCAGCAAACTACTGAAGGTGTAAGTTTTAGGGCAATTTTAGGGGTTAGGGGGCTGGGTTTCAGGCAGTTATCGGTTCAAAGATTGGGCTCGGCGGTTGGTTCAGGTTCCATATTTGTTGAGGATTGGGATTTAAAGGTGAGGGCTGCGGAGAGTTACCGCTGCATTTAAACAACCTTTTTCTGACAGAGCAAGAAACTACTAGACCGGCAAAACTAAACACTGAACTCCTAAACCCCGACCCTAAGCCATGAGTTTCAATGCCTCTCTGCTACCCTGAGCCTTGCAGAAAGCCTCAGTGTGCTAGCCGACAAGCTCTGAAATTGCGACACTCGAAATTTCCCACTCACACCTCTCAGGTTCTGCGAAGAGGACTGGATCTGGAGCGCGCTGGACGTGGTGGCTGGTCTCCCTAGCACCAGCAGAAATGACGTGACGAGAATTCCTTTCAGCGTTCGTTGTCATCGTGGCCATCATCGTGCAGCACAGCATCACGACCACTGCACCCGTCGTCATCCAATAATCAAGCAAGGCCAGCCAGAAGATGCTGTAGGATTTTTTGCAGGTCGCACAGGGCCAGAGGCAGGGTTCAGACAGGCGTTTGTAAGTTGCAAAATGCACGATCTCATGGTGTTGAGGCAATTCTGCCTGTTCGTGAGATCAACGGGCAGTTCGTGTAGAACTGATGTCGAGTGCCTATCTGTAGCTGTTGTTGTGAATCATGACTTTAATGCTACTAGTACGAGTATGAGTTACGTATGCCACGACGAATTTAAGGCTATCTGCACACACAGCGATGCCTTGCTCTCTCTCTCGCTCTCTCTCTCTCTCTCTCTCTCTCTCTCTCTCTCTCGTTTTCTCTCTCCTACTCTGTATACATAGTAAGTATCTGCATAGAAAAGCGCCTGAATAGAGTAAGCAACAAGTGGGGCAATAGAGAAAATTCAGCAGCGAATGAACGAGCAGATAAGCAAGTACACACATCAGACACACAATACTTGTTTTCTTACCTACTTGCTTGCTTGCTTGCTGGCTTGCTTGCTTGCTTGCTTGCTTGCTTGCTTACCTACTTGCTTGCTTACTTAATTACTTGCTTACGTACTTTTTAATTCATTGAGTTGCTTGCTTGCTTACTTACTTACTCAATCTGTCTGTCCATCTACCTTTCTTCTTTCTGTATATCTGTCGACCTATCTATCAACCTTACATCCTTGCTGTCTGTCTACATGAGTTGTCCCTTTTATTATGAGTGTCATTATTGTTACTGTTATTGTTATTTGTGTTGTTCGTACAGTCGGTATGACAATCATGATTCTTCTCATTCTTGTCCTTCTTCTTTTCTTATCATCAGTATTTTGATTATGTATATGTGTGACTATATATATACACATATATACACACACACATACATACACGCATGTTGGTGAGCATGTGTGCATGCATGCACTGGTGCATGTGTATCTGTGTATGCTCGGTTTGTGCATGAGTATGCGAGCATATCTTAGGCTACCCCTCTCTAAGGCCGTGCCGGAAGGTCTTGCTTTCGGAATTATGACCTTAGCGTGCACATCTGCAAGATGCAGCTCTCGGGGTGAAGGGGAGCCATCGAGCGCTTAGGTTTATTGCGGGCTGGCGATATGGCGGCTGGAGGGTGTAGAAGACTGTAGGGCTGTGACTTCGGGACTATGAGAGCTTTGGTTTTGAGAGTGGGGGTGGCGGAGGGTTTGATGTTCGGAGACGTCATCTCAGGTAATTGTCGTGAGCTCCCTCTGGGAGACGGCGCTGGACATCCTCTCCAGCAATACCAACACCAATATCTCAGCTCTTCGAGCGTTTCGCATTATTCGACTCACTAAGAACCTTTGCTGCAAAGGCGGATCTCAAGCATTCCAAGCCCGGACAGGCGAACCCCGAACTTTGCGAGCAGAATTGAAATCCATAGATCCGAACCGCTCGAGTGCCCCGTAATGGTGAAACTGCACCAGCGCCCACGACCTGAGGCGTTTGCAAGCCAGTTGCAGATGCCTAGTCAGCCCAGAACCTTGCGCCGATGTCTAACCTGGCAATCCCTCAAAACCTGCCAAACCTTCATTATCCTCACCCCCCTGGATACCTTGCTGATTGTGGGGGGTCAGCTCCTGTTCTGGGCTTCGGGTGTTGTTGCGTTCTGGTCGTAAAATATCAAGACATGTCGAAGATTCCCATGCATTAGATGACTGATGTAGGCCGTCTGTTCACAAAGGAGCGGAAGGATCTAGATCCACGAGTTTCCATTTCCTTTTTTTGCCAGTTTGAGCTGTCGCAGTTCGCTGTCACAGTCTTGATAATTCGAAGCGGGGTTCCCTCTATCGTCCGTGTATCTTCCGACCGGGTATACTACATCAGAGCCTGACTCCGAAGGCCTGAAGCCCTCAAGGCCTCTAACACGGGGCCGACTTGAAAGCCAATGCTCGTACCCCGAAAGTGCTGTTCGTCAAGGTTCCGGCTTCACACTGTGAGCTTGTCACTTTTTTCTGAAGCCCGTAAAGGGGTAGATGTATTGATTCAAGGGTTAGCCAGCATCGTCGAGCGTCCCCCTAGAGGTCTTGGTGCCGTGAGCCCCTGTGAAATCGTTGTTTGTTTCCGGTTGTCCGGCATAGGTCGTCCTTTTTGGTGTCATCGTTTGTGCAGCTTTTTGCGGGCGCTGATGATGATTTCATGGATGATTCTGGATGATGTGTTCCAGTGTTTCCATAGTGCGGATGATGGGTTATGCCTTGGTGCTGCTTCTGAGCTTGAATCCTTTGCGGATGATGGTGGCCTGGCTGATGGTGATGTCGCTTGTGATGCTCGTGATGGTGATGGCGATGATGGTGACGCATGCCGAAAGCCACGATGATGATGAGTATATCGTGAATCCTGGGCGATGGCGACGGTGATGTCTTTCGTGTCAATGCAGTGGTCAGGGAACGTGTTGTGAAAGTGTTACTGCCGAAGTGGATGTCGAAAAAGGCAAATATCTCAACTCATGTAGCTATGCTGGTGATGCGGTCAGCAGTTTCCCCCGTCACGATGTTTTGGGTCATGGTGTAGCCTATTATTGCTGCATTGACAATGCTGAGACGAATATCAGGATGATAATGGCGGCAGTGTTACCGATGTCAGTGGTGATGACAGTGACCGCGCAGATGAAGCGATCCGGACGTCAACTTCATTCACCACGATGCTAGTTGCAATCTTTCTGTTGGTGCTGGTAATGTTGGTGATGAAAGCTTCTTCTTCGTGATGATGATGGCGAAAAGAACAAGTAGCAAGACAGGATAGTGATCATGAATCATGACGATGGTAGTGGCGACGGAAACGAGGCTTGACGATGAGATGATGCTGATGGTGCCGCTGTAATGGTCATGATGGTGGTGGTGGTGGTGGTGGTGGTGGTGTGTGTGATGGTGATGTGTGCTGATTGTAGCGGTTGTGGTGCGGTCTTGATGATGATAGTCATTGAATCTAGAAAAATTCACTGGTTGCGACGGTCATGTGGAGTGCGGCTGCTCCCACATGTTTGATTGTCTTTGCTTGCGGCACTGCTGCCACCATCACGGCTGCTTGTTGCTATTCTGGCGAAGGAGACCACTTTTTTTGAGATTGCTATCATGTCCGATCAGTCCGAAAACATATCAACTTTAGAATCGGAGGGTATTGTATGGAGACCCATCAGAACCGATAGATTTTATGGCAGCGAGCGGCTTTGTGCCAGAAGCCTGGTGATTATCCAGGATCCTGCGGACCATGCGCTTGATCCGCATCTTCCGATTCGTCAACGCCGTGTCCCAAGCGTGGCGAGTGCAGACCCTTCATTTTGATCGAGAGGTAGAATAATGCGGAATGGTTTCCACAAGTTGTGCTAGCGGTTCTGTTGGAAGTCATGCGAAGCCATGGATGTCCTACTCATTGCGTGGCGATATGAAACATCTTTGAATATTTGGTTTTCGGATCGTTTGGGTTTTCAGTGGCAGCTTTGGGTGTGTTTGTGTGGCTGAAAAGTAGACAACCTCTTGCGGTCTAAAGAACCAGTGCCAAAGTATCCGATATGCGCACGGCTGTGTGTGTCTAGGATGTGTTCCAAGACGTGAAATCAGAAGGAGCTATGGCAAGTACAGTGTCAATGATCTTTGAAACGTGGCTCGCTTTTGGCTTTCTGACCTCTTGGGCAAGCCTCAAACGCAGTTCCAAACATGTTGAATAAGCCACACAGTCATGCATAAATCCGCGCCTGAAGCCAATCACCAGGGGGGGCACTGTGGCTATGCGTATATGCTGCGACAATTCATGCTTCAATTGTAGCTCTCAGGTTTTCACCACGAGTCTGGCTGTGAGCCACTGAAATCCTAAACTCCCAACTCCGAACTCCCAGAACCTCAGCCCGCCTCAGCCCTGCAAGGAAGGAGGATAAGGAGGTTAACAGGTCAGGGTCATGCCCGAGGTTTAGGACTGCATTCTGCCGCATCATTATTTACTCGCAGGTACAAACAGCTTGTTAGTCTGTTTGTGTTTGTTTGGTTGTTTGCTTGCTCGCTCTCTTGCTTGCTTGCTTGTCTGCTTGCTTGCTTGCCTGCTTGCTTGATTGCGTGCTTGCCCCGCATGTATGTTCGCATGCCATATATGTACCTATGTCGGCGTGCATACATGCATGAATGCAACCCATTTGTTTATCTATCTACCTATCCAGGTATCTATCTGAGAATGTACCGGTCTGCCTCCTTATCCAGGTTCCCAAAAATAGAACTCTCTGTTTATTTGTCCATCCATCCATGAGTCTATTCGTCAAAGTTCCGTCCGGCCAAAGGTATATATATATATACACATACCTACCTACCTACCTACCTACCTACATACATACATACATACATACATACATATACATACACAGTATACAGACATATGTATATATATATATACATGTATATGTGTTCATTATATGCATGTTCCTTGTTTGTTCATGCACTGGCTGAATGTAAGTAGCAAGCGACAACCCAGTAAACCTAGGATAAGCCATGGCATGCAGGTGCAGTTGCTGCTTTCTGCTCAAGTTTCCATACAGTCGCACAGACATGCATACATACATGCAGGCATACATGCATTCCAAATTCGTTCACAAATACAAAGTGCATAGATCTACGTATATTTACGCAAGCTTATGCACACACATATGTACATATACATGCGCATCTACATCTACATCTACATGTACATATGCATGTACGTACGTGCGCAAGTACATACATACATACACACGTACATACGTACATACATACATACATACATACATACGTACATGCGTACATAGATACACAGTTACATACCTACATGCATGCATACATACATACATACCCACATACATACTTGTGTACCTACATAGATACATACATACATACATACATACATACATGCATGCATACTTTCATACATACATACTTACTTACATACATACTTAAATTTGTGTACACAGGCTTACATACATCTGTGCGTACTTACATATGCAGGTAAATCGGTAGATAGATCAGTATTTAGACAGGCAGGCAGAGGGCAGACAGAGCGACAGACAGACAGACAGCCAGACAGCCAGCCAGACAGACAGCCAGCCAGACAGCCAGCCAGACAGGCAGACAGACAGACAAGCCAGGCAGGTAGACAGGCAGACAAACAGACAGACAGATAGACAGAGACAGACAGAGACAGGCAGCCACAGGCAGACGGAGACGGACAGAGATAGACACAGACAGACACAGATAGACACGCACAGGCAGGGGCAGACACAGGCAGACAGAGGCAGACAGAGACAGATAAAGAGGGACAAAGACAGACAGACAGACAGACAGCGACAGACAAACAGACATCGTGGGGCGGGAGGTGGGAGGTGCGCGCCTGTCAGCCTATCAGCCAACAGATGCAAAAACACGCAGCGCGACGTGTGGATGCTTGTTGCTCCCCTCCCAAGTCCAGAGCCACTGACCCGGCCATGTTCGGCATACACCTCCTGAGCCTGCTCCTACACATGTTTTGAATAGGGTTCAGATTCCACAGTCAGGGTAAAAATGAAGATGAATCTTTGCACGACCTGTTCCTGGATCCTCAAAGCAGACATGGAAATCTTGGCTGCATATCCCGACAGCCCTGAGAGCCAAATGTACAATGCCTCTGCGAGCAATCATGAAGTGATATGCAGCTTTGCCATCCGATGCCTTTCAGGCCCTGCGCATGCTGATAACGTCGATTTTCCACACACTGAAGTCGCTGCCTCCTGGTGAGCAAAGCAGCTTCTGCAACAGGTTCAGGGGTTTGCACAAGGTTGCTTGTACAGGCCCTACTCGGGGTTCTTTAGGGTGTAGGGTTTGGGGGTTTAGGGTGCAGGGGTTTAGGAGTCTCGGGTTTAGTGCCCAGGGTTTAGGATCTTGAGGCAGTCCTGATGGGCTATGGTTCGAGACTTTAGGGCTCTGCGCGTGCTGAGGTGGGTCTGAACCAGATTGCGCGTTGCTTTCCAAGCTCGAGCTTTCGGGACCAAAGGTTTAAGTTGAAGAAGCTCAGAAGAAGCTGCACGCCACCTAAGTGGTACGTCCGTAGTTACGTAGTTACTACTCGAAGCAGTTGCTGGAAGGGTCGAAGGCTCGGGGTTTTCGGGGTTCTGAGCCCGAAGCATTAGAAGCCTGACTTTCGAACGTTTCATTAAGTTTAGGTTTCTGGGTTTGTTGATAATTCATGCTTGCAGTTTGAAGTGTGGGTTTGTCCCATGCGGGCCCCACCTGCTTGGACGTCACTCAAACAGGTTTGAGTTCCTTCCCAGGGTGGTGTTGGCGTGTTTCGGGATGTGGTCCTGTTTTGGTTTTCGATGTTTTTTTTTGAATTTTGTGCTATGTAGTGTAGTTGTTCACTGTTCGGGGTTGAAGCTACCGTGTCGGAAGAAGTACACACTGTTGAACCTGTAGTTCTGAATGCCCCTAAAACTAAGCACTAGTCCCATCAGCCCAAGAGCGCCAGCCCAAAGGGAGCAATCCAGGTTTTGGGCTCTGGTGCTGATCTGCCTGAATGTCTACGTCTTTGCGGTGTTGTTCGTGCAAGCGGTCGTGGACTTCAAGGAGGAGAGCTTCTGTTGCCATACCATTCATACCATTTAGTGACGATTCCCCAAACCACGTGTCAAGAAGAGTACTTCCGGTGCAAGGTCCGGGCGCCAGCTTCAATCAGTGTTAAACAGGTTGGTTATCAGCTTGACGAGATTTCTCCAGGGCGCGGATCGGTTGCGCTTGAAGCCTGCTTTTGATAAGAAAAGTCGTGCCTGTGAGTACGAAGGCCAAAGGCATATCTGCACAAGAAGTTCCAGTACAGTTCCCAAACGAGAGCATGGCTCCTGCGGTATAACAGCTGTGTTGCTGATGCTGGCTCTGCTGGTTTCTATCATGTTTGATGATGGTTATGGTGATGATGATTGTAATGATGGTGGCGACGCTGGTGTCGATTGAGGTTGTGCTGATGGTGGCGATGATGTCGATTTTGATGACGATGGTGATTGCCACGGCACGCATAATCTTTGTCCTGACGTTCATGCTGCTGAGGAAGTCGTCCAAGCTTTACGTGTCTCGAGTATGCATGCCTATGTCCTTGTGTCAAACAGTGTGGGGTCGCAGAGTTCATGCACGTTGCATGGATCATATGTGAATCTCTGCCCGTCCGTGTGGGTGTTGCATATCAGAACCGTGCTCGCCTCAGACTCGTAAATGTAATGTCGCCATAGCTAGGGTCTGAAGTTTTGAGTCCTAACATTGGCCTGTGGTACGGTGTGACTGTCATTCTCAGGTCCCCCATTTGGGGCCTGAGCTGGTTGGAGCCACAAGCCATAAGCCTTGGGATATGCTGGTCATCAGACTTTCATAGCTCAATTTCCGGAGTCCGAGGAGGCTGCGTTCCTCGATCTCGGGCAACGTGAAGCTGACGGTATCGCGCGCCATCTTTCGGCAAAAGGGGTTCTGCGGTTTGTCGGGCCTAGGTCTCGACGGTTTTCTATTTTATTCCTCCAGAGCAGTATAAACTTGAGCAGATTATACAGATACCGGCCGGAATCCGCGAACCACACCGCAGACAGCTGGGCAAGGTTTGGGGAAGTTCAGGGGATCTGGGTTTGCGGCGCTGCAGCCGCCATGAGTTCGAAATTCCTGCGCTATGTGCACTGTGAAGCTTGAGAAAGAAGCTCGACCTTTGCTTGGCTTCTACACGTCTCCAGTCTGACGAATTAAGGGCCCACTGTTTCTTTGCACGTTGTTGCTATCTTTGCTTAGATGAGACGTGATACTGTCAATAATACAAGCTCGTCGGCTTCTGGTGTAAATCGGGCGCTTCGACGATGCGAACTAACTAAAATTGCGGAGCTTGGTGCTGCAGAAACAAAGTGGCCGTCTGCACCCAGGCTATTTCAGCTCTGTTCTCATGACCATGCTCAGCCTCTTCATGAGCATCGCGGGTGGCGTAAGCTGGGAAGATGTGGTGATGCCCCTGATGGCGGGGAAGGGTTTCTGCTTTGCATTGCAGTTTTACGGGTTATTGCAGCAGCAGTAATAGTAGCAGTAGTCGTAGCCGTCGTCGTAGTAGTAGTTGTTGTCGTAGAAGTAGGAAAAGTAGTAGTAGTAGTAGTAGTAGTAGTGGTGGTAGTAGTGGCAGTAGTGGTAGTAGTGGTAGTAGTGGTAGTAGTGGTAGTAGTGGTAGTTGTTGTAGTTGTGGTGTTGCTGATGCTGTCTTTGCTATCATCAATATTGCTTCTTAATCGTGCTCTTCTGTACTCCGCCTTTGCTTTCTTAATGCTTGCAGCGATTGCCGTAGTTGTCTTGTGCTAGCTCTGTTATCGTAACCGCTGTTTGCGACCTACACAACAGAGACTGCAGCAGCTGTGGTTCCTCACTGCTGCTCATGGCTCTCCAGTGGACTCAGCAGGTTCATGATCAGGATGTTGTTTTCCAGTTGTGGTGCACTAGGGAGTTGCAAACATGAGTAGAGTCTACGTGCGTTCTTGCCTTGCAGACATTGTGCATGAATGGGGTGCCTTTGTGTTGTGAGCACATGGTGTGATTTTCGTCATTCTGAAGGTCTGTCAGTAGGGATGCCCGCATGCCGTGCGCATGTTGGAGCCTCAGACGAGTGTTAATGTGCGCCTTCAGACGCGGTTCGAAGCAAGTCTCTCTCTCTCTCTCTCGGTGTCTGTGTGCGCGTGCGTTTCTATTCATATCAATGCACTGGCTTGCAGTGTCTTGTCATGCAGAACGGCGCACTACTTCGTAAATGGCCCTTCCATCTCGCAGCATAGTAGTTAGCAGGTGGACGTAGGGTAGTTTCGTGGAGCACATTCTGGTGCGGATTTAAAGCACTGCAGAAAATTATGTTGTAACATAGTGCAGTGTAATTGCCGTGGTAGATTTTGGTAGAATGTTCATGTAGGTCAGTTATCTGTCATCTAACCTAACAAGTGCAGCGCACTTCGATGCCACCCAGTGTATCCCGATGTTGGACTTGAGCCTGCTGTAGCTGATCGAACTATGGAGATCTCCACACTTGAGAGAATATATATGTGTGTATATATATACATACATACATACATACATACATACTTATACAAGAATATAGGCATGTGTGCGTGCACTTAAACAGCTGCTTGCGTGCATGCATGGATGCGTATGGCATCTGACTACACGGCTGACGCATGTTTGCGCATACTGCGACTGCATGCACCCACATTTGCAGCCTCGGGTGTTAACAAGTTTCCCAATTGCTTCGACCAGCGTTGTCCGGGCAGGCTATCTCATGGGTTTGGGTTGGCTGCTTCATCTTTTATGTCTCCTTTACGTACTTTGCTGTGCGCCTTGGCAGAACCAGCTGCAGAGAGATGCTCTGCTGTTCGGGCTTCCTCAGATGTCGACATGTATTTCGGAAGCTGTCCCATCTGCTTAAGGGTGAAGAGGTGAAAGTCGCGGTGCATTGCAGACAGGACTTATGAAGGAATGTGGTACCCACCAGTGATCCTCTTCCCACTGGGTGCATCTTGGGATCGTTCCGGAGAGTTTGGGGAACCACTTACCTCACCGCAGAAGCAGCGGTGAAACGTGTTTGGCAAGACTTCTGGCTATACTCAATTTCACAGGCCCCATCTAAATGATCCCCGTTCCTCCAATGCTCGTACAACGCAGGGATTCAGCTACAAGATGAACGGCTTCAACTCCTTGTTTAGATTGTTGTTTTGGGGGGTAGGCGCGGAACTTGTAACTTGGATAACCCTGACATGAGCGATGGGTTTAGGGCTTCGGGTGGCGATGATAGTCCAAGCTGCATCCTGATCTCACCATCTTGAAGCCAATCCTTGTTCTTTCTTTTGGATTTCTCTCCCTTCGTCCTGCCAGAAACAGGTTTGTACGACATCAGTGTCCAGAGGCACTCTGTTTTCGCAAGGCTTTGGGTCGAGAACGACGCGCCTCTGGCACGAGTTTATTTCGTGAATTCACATGCAAACGGCTTTGTTCCACCAGGCGACCCTCACTCGGGGAAAAAGGTGCAAAAGTAGGGCAACATGTCAACTGCACAAGTCAAGGTTCCCTACAAACACCAAACCAACCCGGCAACCTTGAGAAACGTGCGGGACCGGCCTGCTTCAAGCGCCCTGAGAGGTGTGGCAAACCAAAAGCCTTCCCTGAACGGCAGACTGAGCGCGTGGCATTCGCTTCGGCCCGCCACAAAATCGCAAAACATCTTGACCGTTTGGATACACAGGAAAAGCAACACTCTTAAAGCGCGACAACAACGCTGGCCCATGAACGACCACGAAGCCAGCGACGTACCTGTGTAAGACAACAGGGCGAGCTGATCAACAGATATCCCTTCGGTCTAGCTGTGAGCATTCTTCCAGAGCCTTGGAGATGCAAGAACTAAGCAAACATGCCCCCCACTTCAAAGTATTTGTGCGCGCTCAGGCATTCCCGGATTCGCAGTGACAGCGTATGCACACCCGAGAATGGAGAGTCAAACGGATGAGAACATCCATCATGTCTCTAAATCGTCACATGGGGTATGTATCGATTTGACAAGGTTTCGCAGGTTCACGTAGCCAATTTCAATCAAAACCCGAATCCCTGATAGCCAGGGTCATGGTCTTGCCGGTCGGCGCCTTCTTAAAGAGCAGCGCAGCACCAGTGCAATTAGCATCTATTCCTGAACTGTCGCTTTCACGGTGAAGACTGTGCAAGGATCCTCAACATCCGGGGTGACAGTTTTGTCCGCCTGCGACCATATAGAGCGTCCGTCGCCTTCACATTGTCATTGTCGATCGAGTCGGATGCCTCAACAGTCAGGGAACGGTCTTGTCGGTCAGCTTCTCCACGGACGTCAGCACGCCACCGGTCGACTCCTGCTGGATGGCATGGTCGGAATTCATTTCTTTCGTGACCAATCATGCAAACACGGTATCTTCTCAAGAAGTTATCATACGGGCCCTTTTGTAAGACTTGTGCAAAGCATTCGAATGATTTTGAATGATCTTGAAAGAGTTTGAATTATTTTGAATGATTTGGAATTTTTTGAATTTTTTGTTTGAATTAATTTGAATTATGCTGAATGTTTTGGAATGCAGCAGCAGCAGCAGCAGCAGCAGCAGCAGCAGCAACCGTAACGGTAACGGTCACGGCAGCAGCATGTATTCTAACTGGCCGATGTCGTTGTCGTCATCATGAGCAACACCATCCTGATCATTAACATCCCTGTCATCATCGTTGTCATCGTCATCATCATCATCATCATCATCACCATCATGACTGCCATCATCGTCGTCATCGTCACCATCATCAGCAGCATCATCGCCGTCACTACCATAATTGCCTCCATCATCATCATCATCAACATCATCATCATCATCATCACCATTATCATTATCATCAGCATCGTCTCCAGCGTCATCATCGCCATCTTCAACATCATTGCGCGTCTCACCGGGGTCACTGCGACAGAGTCAGTCTATCATGAATTGGACCGGGGACGTACCATCACCCGGACTCACCCCACCAAGCCCCGCTGGAATGAGGCTGAATGTGGTGACGGCAGTGCTACATGTCGGCAAATGGGTCTAGACTCTAGCGTGAACTTACAGTCTTGAAACCTATAGGGTTTGGTTTGTTTTGGCTTTTGCCAGTTTTTTTAGGGAGTCTTACAGGATCGTGGATCTCACTCCTTCGAAAGGGCAGGCTCAGGTACTGATTGCAGGCTCAGGTACCTTGACCTTCAACCTCATGGCCAAGCCTTGCAATTCACAGGCTAAGCCAGCATCCCGTAGCAGACCTTACATTCCGGAAGATTTCCTTAGGGACCGCACAAAGAGTCACAACCCTGAGCCAACAGACCAGCCGATGGCTCTAGTTATATAGTTTTTTTGGAAATACCGGTCGAAACAAGTGCTTGCGAACACAAACGAGCTGCAGAGACGGGCGTTTTTAAGGACTGGTCCCGGGCTTGCGGCGGTTCTCTAGAGGTTGTGGCACAGTGCACGGTTGGAGTTTTCCCAATACGGGCAGGGCAAAGATGGTAAGGTGAGATGGATGGTGTAACATCACTGAGTCTAGAATTGATTGAACCGGACACATCAGATGTCTCTTCGATCAGGATGGCCAAATTAATGATGCGAGAGGCCGGTGACAGGAGCTCTGGTCTTTGTTTCTCCGAGCAGGTGAGGCTGCCTGTCGTCATCGCCGCAACACCAGAGACCCTGCAACACACTCCTTGACAACATCGCCGGCTCTCGCTTGGTTGAGGTTCTGTCAAAGCGCCATCGAGAGCGCTCAAAACGATCATGTCAACGTCGTCCAATCCATCCTGGCGAAGCTGGGCTTTATGTAGTAGGGATGTGTAGGGTCTAGAGCCCAGGTTGTCTTGGGTGCAGCATTGAGACATGGCTGGCTGTGCAATTGCAAACTCACGATAGTCTCACGGTGATGTTCCCATCGATAGTTAATTCAATATGTGTGCAGGGCTTACGGTTCAAGAACTTCGACTTAGGATTTAGGATTCCTGACATGTTGATCGCAGCTGTCTCTCAGAGAAACTCTGAGACTGCTTGAAGAACTTCAAGTCTTCAGCACGACATAGAGACGAAATGTTAGATCCACTGCCGATAACAGGCGCCGCAAGCTTTTAACGACGGATCTAGGCGTAAGGCTTACATCCCCCAAAAGGGGCATGGGTGTGCCGTCCTTTGACTATTCACACGCCCGATGCAGATTCCACTATAGCATCCTTTAATTTGTACCTCTGTGTCGGAACGTGGTCGCCCTAGCTTGAGTGCTTCAAAATGCTGAATCTGGTAGGAGCGAGTCTTGAAATAGTGGGAGGCAACGGGATCTGCAGTCGTAGAAGCTTTTGCCGGGTCTAGAAATATGTGATTTCTATCATCATCATCATCAGCAGCATCGTCCTCATCATCATCATCATGATCATGATCATCATGATCATCATGATCATATTCAAGCATCATCGTCTTCATCGTCTTCAGCGTCTTCATCATCATCTCCATCATCATCACCATCACCATCTTCACCCCATCATCATCATCATGTTCATCATAACATCGTCATCATCATCATCATCATCATCATCATCAATCACCATCATCATCAGCACATCATCACATCATCTTCTTCATCATCGCCTACCCAAAGTGAATGGTGACATCGGCCAAAGAAGCAAGCAGAGAGCACGCCAGGGTACAGCAGCCAGGTCCATCATTTTAGCATGAAGTGTTTGCAGTGCCACAGCCCTCCACATGCTTCGCCAACGAGTTGAGATGTTCTGGGTCCAGCCCACCCACAGACAAAGACAGACGCGCAACAAAGCAGAAGCCCAGGAACAAGGAGGCCCACAAGCAGCTGCTAGCCTGGATTCAACTGTATTCCGATGCGCGCTTATTCAGTTCCTGCAGGGCGATTCTCAGGGGTGTCATAGTCGAGGGCACGGTTTGGGTGTGTCTGATCTCTAGGGCTCCTCTTCCTGGTAGGTCTTCACTGAGGTAGTTGCCAGGTTTCTGCAGTTTCTCCTGTAGATGCTTTTGCCAAGCTGCTTGGTGAGAGCTTCCGAGTATAGGCTCCATAAGAAGCAATGAAGGGCGATTCGAGTTGTGTATTCAGGTCCCCATTAACCCCTGCGGCATCCTAATCGCACACTGGAGTTACCGAAGGCCCTGTACAGCAAGACCCCGTTCAAAGTAATTTATAACCTCGACACTTAGTCTGGTCTGGAATTCCCGAACCCGCGCAAACTCCCCCAACAGCCTAAACAGGTTGAGTATTACAAGTAGGGGTTTCAGATAACAGGTGGACACTTTGGGTCCAAGCCTCTAATCTAGGGCTCAGGAAAGCGTCAACTTCGGGTTTTAGGCTTTCATCTGGCGATTTCCTTTTGATTGGTTCGAGACACACGCGCACAAAACCCTTTGATGTCCGAGATCCTTAAGTAAGACTCTTTCAAGTGTTCACCCACGAGCCTTCATGGTCTGTAGTTGGAAACACTATTCCTTACGGTCGCCGAAATAGGGTATAGGATTGCATGTGTCACAGCAGTTTATTCCAATTGCCACGGCAGCATATATTGATGCAGCTTTCTAAAGCCAGCGCCAAGCCATGTTGCTGCCTGTGTGACAACCCTGCAAAACCCTGCCAGACCCTACCCTTTCGTATCCGAATCCAGAAGAGTATTTCAGTCCGCTCGGGCTAAGGAAGGTCGGACAGCTTTTCAACCAGCTCGGGGCAGCGGATTCTGCTGCCCAGTTGCAAGCATGTTGTCGGTTTGGGCCTTTGGGATTTAGAGTGTAGGTTCATTCGCCAAAAAGCCCATTCAACGAGGTCCTTCACCCGTATCGGGCCGAATCTCGGCTCAACGCTCCACGTCCAGCGGCAGTGGGGCGTAAGGGCGAGAGAGAGAGGGAGAGACAGAGAGAGGAAGGAGAGAGACAGGCGACTTACGCAGAAAAAGCAAAACAGGGCCAATTGACTGTTGTCAACCTTCGGCTCATACTACCTTGGGCGCCTTCCGCATGGTCAGCTCGGGCTGTGTTGCAGCGACTGCTTCATACACACTGCCCATTCTCGCGTGCTGCAGCTGGAGCCTTCTGTCGCTACTGAACGCTGAGTTGCCTTCCTTGCAAAGGCTCCAACGATTTTTCGAGTATGGGACGCAGCATGAAGAGCCAGCTCCTCCTGACGGCGGGACCCCAGAAGAAGCGAAGCGAAAACATGGGCAATGGCCAGTGGTGTCCGTCGATTTCGCGAAGCCATCGATCGGCCTTTGCTTGTGGTGCTGCTTTCCAATTTTGGGATATGCAGTGGTCCGTGGCCTGAGTGGATGTCCGCAGTATACCTGGTATTGCTGGCAAGTAGAGGACCAGACGACTTCCTCGCACCTACGCAACCTCCTCCACCTGCTGACCGCAAGCATCCTGTTGGCGTGGCTTTGTAGCGTTCCCCCAAGCGCGGCACGATACCGTGCCTTGTTCGTGTCTGTTGCTTTCTGTGAGTTTCTCATCAATAAGGCTATTTGGGACAGCTGCGAGGACTTCATGGCTCACAGTGTCTCTGTTGGAAGCACCTTTGGTGCCTTTGACGTTTTTATTGCACTAGCCACGCTGCTAACACTGGTGATCCACACCTGTGAGGGTTTGCCGAGCATGCGCCGATGCTTTCAGAAGTTCTGTGAGACGATGGGCCGTCCCACGGCCACAAACCCAGAGCTCTACATGACCGCTTCTGGACAGAGGAACTACCTTCTCTATATGTCCCTCCTCACGGTCTTCCACGTGGGTCTCTTCTTGGCCTTTGCGGATGACGTCCACGCACATCACTACTGGATGGGCTTCGTGGTGGCCTCCTGCTGCATCTTTCCGACACCTTTGTCAAGGCTCATGCTGCTCAAGTCCGTTACACAGTGGCGTTAGAAACAAACTGACCAAGTTGCCTTTTTTTGTTGCCTGTGCGGGGTCTTTGTGTGCAGGGTTCTGGGCTTCGAGTCCCAGTCTTGGGTTTGGGGAGTTGGAATGACACGGGCACAGTGCCTCTTTTGGAAAGATGCCCAGCTATTTCTCATTAGAGGGAAAGTTGTACGCCCCACGAAGGTAATGATGGCCATCGACGGTATCGGGGTGTGGGGTGCAGATGCCATTGTGGGAGAAGATGAGGGCGGCATGTCCGAAAGCGACGCTGACCTGCGGCTGATCTTGTGTGTGTTCCTTGTCTTTTCAGCAACATGTGTGTTTGCTCCTCGAGCAGATCTAACCTCAGCCCGCCTTCCCGCAAAGACATCAACTGCCAATCTTGTGCCAGCTAGGAAGGCTCGTCCCCACGAATGCCACAACCATAAGCCACCCCGAGTCCAGACACAAAGAAGCGATCCCAGAACCGACCTGTGTAAATTACAGGCTTGTGGTCCTGGCGTTTGCAGTTGCAGTTGGCGTCAACCTCTATCGAGATCCGTGCATGAGGTCTAGCAGGCGGCAGCAGACAGACACCGAATGAGATGCTTTAAGTGCTACGAAGCCCTCAACGCCTCAAAGCGCAAAACAACACAAGTCCAGCGTCTTCGCTTCGACCCGGTTTGACCGCGGATGCTTTGTTGAAGAACAAACAGCACCGTTCCGACGAACTTTTTCCAGACCTGGCCAAAGGCCTGCTCTGGTTGCGTTTCTTGCCGTGGATAGCGGGGTCGAATCCTGCCTCGGCTTTGCGCGGAAAAGCCATGTGGTTTCTCCTGGTCGTCGAAGACTACAAGTGACATGAGTAACAACAACGCCACCACGCAGCTGTCCGGCATCTAGTCTAGGGCTAGGATCAGGGGTGCCGAACAAGCAAATCCAGCAGGTTGTAAGCATCCCGTTGTTACACTCCAACAGCAACATCATCATCAACACTTTTGTCGACATCATGCGCAACTTCATGGCCTGTCTGATATTCAATTTTCATCACCACGTTTACAGTCATCATGTTTATCATCATGTTCTCAATCTTCATCGCCATGGCCTTGGCGAGCCACAGACGACGACGATATTGACCGCTACCCGCTCTTCCTGCAACGCACTTCTGCTACTGCAACTGTCCACTGCCAGTTCTGCTGTTACGGAGCACTAGTAGCGCCACCACATCCACAGGACGAGGACGAACACGGCGGCGACGAGGAGAACGAGTTGAATGGCGACGACGACGACGACGATTGCGGCAGGCGGCGGTGGCAGCGGCAGCGACGACGACGACGAGGACGAGACGACGACGCCGGCAGCGACGAGGATGACGACGAGGAATAGCAGCCTTGTAAACTGCTGCCAGTGCTTTCGCCTTTTCCGGTTCTGCCTTCTCAGACTCATCCTGACCGCCGTAGTACGTTGCTGAGTTTGCTCCTGCTGACTCCTCCCCAGGAAGGTTCCGGCATCACCTTTGCGATGTTTGAGGAAAAGATCAACTCGCCAGAGGTGCCGGCATTGCTTTGAGCCGAAACCCAGCATGGGTCTATGCCTGAATCCCGCAACTCCGGAATTGAAAATGTAAGCCTGTTAACCGCATATTTCGACAAATCAGCAAGGTTCTCACTCTAGAAGAGCGAGCATGAGGTGAGATAATTCGATGTAAGGTTCTCATTCTAGAAGAATGAGCATGAGGTGAGATTATTCAGAAATATAGATCCCGAACCCAAGGCTAGGTAGGACTAGGAGCTGATTTAGCTTTTCCGCACACCCACAAGCAACTTCCCAAACACTGAAACCGAGAACTCCTAGTTTCTAGTTGTGCGCATAATTGCATTTGGGCGTTTGGCGACAATGGCCTCTACAGAGACACTTCTCCCGGTTCCTGATCGGGGAAGACAATCTTGATAGTAAGTGGATGTATGACTTCTGACAATCGTACGAAGCCTAAGCGTCGAAAGTCTCCCAGGGGTCAACTCGGCAGGGTGTCTTACAGTGTAAGAGCTCGTTGGCATGTTTGTTTGGTATTATTTCTGGGACGAGCCCCTGACTTATTGGATCCGGGTCTCGAGCCCCGGGTTGTGGTTGAGAACTTCAGAGCTTAGACTTGTTTTGGTGTAGGTTCAGGGTGAAGGCTTCAGGAAGGATTTCGGGAGAACCGCGAAACAGGATGGGAGCTTAATGAAGTTCAAGATGCGAGCCTTACTCTTTCGATTTCTGGGCTGGGTGCCCTGAAGGGCCGTAGAACTGAAACCCTTTAGCCGAAAGCCCTGAAGCCCCGAAGCCTTACTCTCTTTATAGACCGTCGAAACATATAGAGGTCCGAAACCTTCAACGATAAGATTAGGAGCTTTCCGTTAGACTTGGTGCAGCTTCGGAGATTCCAAGCCTTTAAAACCAGCATTCCAAGCTCTCGTTTGAGTAGTGCAACTACTACGGTTGCTATTGCCGCTCAACAAAGAGTCTTTGTGGGCATATATTAGAGGGCTGCTCTGAATCAGGGCTTCAGTTCAGATGCCAATGAAGAAGAAACTTCACAAGAGCCGTCAGGGCCGCGCCAAGAACAGATTTTCGCTTTATCGCGTAAGTCCCGGTCTTAGTTTGGCAGCCGCGGTGCCTCGAAGTCCCAAACTCAACCGCGTCAAGCCTTGAGCTGCTGATCTTAACGCCAGCTCGGGATAGAACAGCACGGGTGTTCCGCAATGCGGGATTTATGATCGATTGTGATCATCGCTTCAATGTTTCAGTTTGGGCCCAGCGTCGGCCTGCTGATGACAGGTGCGGGAATACTTCTCAGCCATGGGTCTCGACATCTTGGCTGCATTCGTTTGGCGGTCGACGGTTTCAGTCTTGGGGTTTGCGACACTTCCGTTTTGAACTCCACTTTGCAAGGGACGTAGCTCCTGAACCCGAAAATGCCGCAGCAGCCCGACTATTCGGAAGCTTCCCAAGAAGGAACAAAATCGGGCCTGCCGTACCACGAACCCCTAACTGTCATGGCCGACCCTCCTTCCACGCTTCAACCAGCATCATGTCATCATCACTCGAAGGATATATGGGATGCATGGACTTTTTTCAAGCTTCTTGACGTTGACGGTGGTGGAGAGGCTGCTGAAGAGCGAAGAAGCGGGGGAGTCGAGTTGGGCTTGCAATTCTCGGATTGGCGCTTGATGGCTGAATTCCGAGTAATCTATGTTGGCACCCCAAAGACCAAGATTTTTTTTCATGAACTCCTTCTGCCAGGGGTGCTTATGCCCAAGGTTGAAACAAGTAAACAGGGACAAAATTCCTTGGCAAATCCAGCGAAGGCGCAAACTTCTCCATCGACAGGGTGCAGTGCTGTAAATGCGACAGTTGCAGTCAGTAGCACTCGCCAAACATACTCTCCTCGATCCCAGACCCTTGTGGCATGTCGCATTGCCCTGCACTGGGCACTGGGCCTTCTTGCTGCACCGTGTTGCCGAGAAAGTATTGCTATTGAAAGAAACAGTGGTAACAATGTTTGCAGTGAAGTAGCGACAACAACCACATCAGCAACAGGAGTGTCAACTACGCAGAGACAACCATTACCAACTCGGTACTGTGCTAGAAATAGTACGAGCACAGGCACGAGTGCTACCACTGCTAGTACAACTACCACCAACACTACCACTACCACGACCACTACCACTATCACTCCCACTGCCACTGCCACTGCCACTGCTACGGCTACTGCTACTGCTGCCGCTGCTGCTGCCGCTGCCGCTCCTGCT